GTATATATGTATATATTGAGTTCTACTTCAAAAGCAATAGTTTTCAAAGTAAATAACTGAGTTCTCAATATGATAAAAAATTGTTGTACCTTTTTTATTGTGTTGAAAACCATAATACCCAACAATCACATTAAATTACAACAARAAAAATAAAAGAAAGAAAGAAAGTGCTGTCTGTTTTTACTAAAAAAAGAAACTTCAGTACCTAGTTAGATGAGATGATTTTATTAAAGCTACTTTATTGCTGAGTATTTCTCAAGGTTAGAGACTGTCCACAGTCTACCTTATACCTGGAACTATTGACTGGTTTAGAACACTAATATCAATGAATAAAAAATTATGCAACATAATTCAAATAAATAATTATTAATGTCTCCATGTACAGTAACAAGAAATGACATTTCTGCTGCGAACAATACTGAACTGAGAATAAAAAATCACAAAGAGCAGGACTGAGAAAATGAAAAGCATTTGTTTAGCTGCAGGATTCAGATGAGTTCATATCTACTGCATGAGGGTCAGCTCTGTGCTCAGATATGATTTGTGCCTTAAATCCTCAAMTCCTCCGGATAGTTGGAAAATCAGCAGGAGCTCTGATGTTGAGGTTCTTTAAATAAATAACTGCAGAAGTTACAGCTTTTAAAAGGTTGTTGTTCCAGTGTACAGGTGGATTTGTCACGATTCTTAATGCCCGCTCCCCAAAAAATGAAACTTCCTGTCACTGCTCTCCTAACACACTGTCTTCAGTAGTATATTGCATTTTTTCAAGTGCAAGTTCAACCAGATTTTGAATACATGCAGGGTGAAAAAAATATTCTTAATTACAACAGAAAATCTTTTGGAATAAAGATTATTGCAATGATGGAATGAAAAAAACATTTAAAACACTAAAACAATGCAACATGTAAATAAATGAAAGACCTAACAGTTTTTTTAATCAAACCATAAAAATAATGTTTTATGCAACGTTGTGCACTCTCAACAATTTTAAGGTCAATATTTGTAAAACTGAATTATCAACATTTTCTTTTATTTTAAAGGTCACCTGGCTGTGGCATGATTGATTCTGATAAACTCCAAAAGTTGTAGAGGTAAATCAAATGATTGCTTTCTGAAAGCTTCATATGTTCACTGGCTCGTGAGATATTTTGTTAACAGGCACACATAGAACAAAAACATGCTCACCCATCTTTGCCCTTAAGTGATGAAAAGTTACCAAGGTAAGCCTGCTGAGGTCAGTGCGTTAAAAACTAAAACATAAAGATGTGTACCTCACATTGACCACAAGGGGGCAGGCTAAGACAGAGAGACAGTGCAGTTAGTGCGTTTCAAACCTCTGTAGTGCAATGGTTCTTAATCCTGGTTCTTCAGGGTCACAATCCTGCTTGTTTTAGTTGCCTTCAGCTGGTCTTGAAGTTCTGCAGAAAGCTGTTCATCACAGGTGTGTCAAAGCAGAGGAACATCCCTTCAAGGACCAGGACTGAGGACCACCGATGTAGTGTTTTCCCCATTAAAAACAAAATCATAAATAGACACACACGCACACAAACACACTCTCACAGACACCCATAAGTTAAAGCAGTAGCAACAAATATACAAACATAAAATAAAAAATATAAAAATCTACATCATGAGAGATGAGGGGACTTGTGCTGTTCGATGAGTCATACTGGCCACTGTCACAAGTTGTTATAGCTCTGTCAGGTTGCAACACCTCGAACTCTGCGGAGGTTTTTCACAGTCTAGTTCTTCATCATCACTGTCTCCACTTGCAGTTTGTTGATGTTTTTTTTTTTTTGAAGAAAAAAAAAAGCAGAAAAGAAGTCCAGCTCTTCTTCTTCCTCTGTGCGTCTCTGCCGCTTTCCACCGAAGTGCATCAGAACTGCCAGGGGTCTCCCAGGGGCATCTTAGGAACCTCTATGTGCATCTCCACGGGGTGGTCGGGGGCCCGGTCCCTCCTGTAGGTCACCGTTTTCTCATTGGTTGTAGGAATGTAGGACAGATCCTGGAGGGCGACAGAGATGCTGTGTCAGGAATCACACATACACAAACTACGAGCTGTTACATGATGCAGCAAACTCTCGATCACATGCACGGAGCGCATGCTGGGAGGGCTGATTTTGCAAGCCTGCGCGGATGAAAAAGGGAGGGAACGTGGGAATATTCGCAAACATACTTTTTGGCTTGCAAATACTTATCTGTATGTGTGGAGCAGAATCACTCCCTTCTTTGTGCGCTTGAATCATTTATACATAATTAGTTGTTTTGACATGTTCAACTCTGAGACCAATTAGTGATGCCTTAGTTTTAGGGGAATCTCACTTCTTTCCCCCTCTCCACTTTCCCAGAATCAGAAAAAAAAGAAAAGGCCTTTTTTTTCCAAACGTTTAACTTGCATTATTTTATTATCTGAACTTAAATAAATACTACATTTGAGTAAAAAAAAACTTACTCACAGTCCTACTGATATCAAAATAGAATCTTACAGTAAGTATATCTGACCAAAAAGTGTTTTTGATCATATTTCTGACTGATAAATTAGGCAAGCCTGGAAGTTTAGCCTGATTTTTTTTCCTTTTTTCAACAAGTCTTACAAAGTGCAATCGTCTTACTGCACTGGCAGATTATTTCACTTAATTTGAGAAAATTCATACTATAATCTATACTTTTTTAGCTTGTTTTTAGATGGCTAATTTTGCAGTGTAACTCCCTGTTCACCCTAAGATGCTTGTTTTTTTGTTTGACAAGGAATACATCTTGAACATTTAAAATTAAGAGAAAGCTTCTTTAACAATGATAGCTTCATTTAAATGAATTTCACAAGCTTTCTTTAAAAGAAGAGAGTATTCAGTTCCCACATTATGTAAGGAGGGTGGTGCAGCAAAGCAATGGATAGAGATGTCGTCTCACAGCAAGAAGGTATCAGGTTCAATTCCCGGCCTTTCTGTGTGGAGTTTGCATATTCTCCTTTTCTCCAGACCAAAAACAAGCATGTTTAGTTTGTAATTAAATTGTTTTCTATGTATTAACATTTTTTATCTCTATGTTACCATGTGATGGACTTGTGACATGTCCAAGGTGTGTCCCGCCTCTCGCACAGTAGCAATGTAAATTTGATTTAAGATGTCTCAAAAAAGAAATCTGAATTAGGCTTGTTTCCATCTACTGGTYCACAAAATGTAATTTTGTCGGACYTTGACGTTACGTATGGCTGTAATAAACAGGAAGTAGAGGCTGTAAACTAGCAGGGATCACACATCTCTGGACAATGAAGAGAAGTTTTCAGGAATGTGTAGCTACTGGGCAAGTTGTAACTGCTCTGTCACATCAACTAGTACTGACGATGTTACACGCTGTTCGAAGGCATAAGGACAGAAATGCAATTCCATCAGAAACCATCAGAGCTTATTCAGAAAATGAGTTTCCATCTCCACTTTTGAGCATTACCTCTTTTTTAAATCCCAAATGAGCGTAAAAACTTTTTTTTGCAAAACTGAGGAGTATTTATTTATTTATTTATTTTAATTTTGCAGTTTCCATTAACCTCTTCAAATGTGATACTTCAAAATGTGCATGTAGTTGATGGGAACACAGCTAGTGATGAGCATCAACTCCCCACCACCCAGAAAGAAGCGACGTTAAAGAAAATGGACGGGCATAATGTACGTTTTTAACATTTAGTCTGAAATATTAAAGGGATTTTAAGGCCATGTGGGTATTTACCTCCACAAAACATCATACAGATTTAAAAGTATAAATCGTAGTTAAAAAAAAGCCTGTTTGGATTCATGTTGAAAGCCATTTAAATAAGTTATGCAGAGGAAATGCACACATCCTGATGAGACATTCCTCCTGTACTTTCCATAAACCTCTACTTCTCAAAGGTGCTGTGTGTCAACGTAAGGTCAAATATCTGGAAACTGTAGAAGGTGAGCTGGGAGTTKGAAGGAAATGAAATCAACAGCTGTACCTCTTCACACTTAGATTCCCCCCTCCTTGTTTTAGTGGTTCGCTTTTCAGGACTCTGCTGTTGCAATGTGACATTCGAAGGCTCACCTTTCCAGAGCAATGGTGGCCTCCATCCAAACCGGCGCCCTCTGGTGACCTGAGCCTCTTCTGCAGCAGCAGCCGTGACACGGCCACCACCACCAGGCCGCACAGCACCGTCAGGGCACACACACCCAGGAAGGTACCCACCAGGCGGCTGCTGCTGACGCTCTCTGTGGACACACAGCAAAAACGTGGTTAYGAGGGATGAGCTGTGAGTCAGTGGAACGGACAGAAAAATCTGCAAAACAACACAATGAAATGGATCCTCTAAACACACGCACTCGTAATTTTTTTCAATAGTTAAGATTTTCCTGTTGTTCATGTTCATATAAATAGAAACTATTTRCTTTAACAGAAAACAGCTGCTGAATTGGCTGTAACGCCTCATTTATAGTCCAGGCTTTCTGTATTTACGTAATGACATCACCGTGAAAATATTAGCATAGTGAAGGTGTAAGAACTTTTTTTTTTTACCACAATAAAACTAGCATTCCTAGAAACATACACTCAGAGYTCTTTAAAGTACTTGAAAAAAATAAGTAAAAGTAAAAATACCTTAACAGAAAATGACTTTGGTAAAAATAAATGTCATTAACAAGAAAACTACTTAAGTGAAAGTCATAAAACTGTTCACAAAAATCAGGAAAGTAAAAGTACTTTTCCACACTCTCTAACAAATAAACTGTTAAATTTACAGGACCAAACTGGCTCCACAAAACCAAGTTGATTAAATTGGTCAATTTCTTTAAAATAAAATATGTATTTCGCCTCAAATTTACTCTACTAAGTTTAGTGGAAATAGTTGATATGATTTAGTTGAGTAAATTCAATAATTAATTTTTTAGAGCACATAAACAACTCTTATCATGACGAGTTCAGACAGATTTAATTTATAACAAGTAACTAAGTGTTAAACTTTAAAGTAAAAGGGTAAAAGTATCATTTTTAGGTTTTAAAAGTTAAGTAAAAGTAAATGTCATGATTTAAAAAATACTTGCTAAAATTACAAATCCTCAAAAAATTTACTTAAGTACTGTAACAAAGTAAATGTACTTAGTTACTGTAAACCTCTGCATACACTGCATCACATGCCAAAATTTCAAATAATTTCTCACAATCTGTTAGTGCTCAAAGTTGCTGCTGATGACGACTCTCAGCTACTACCAAACCAAACTTTAGCTCAGTATCTGTAAAAAGTGAAGTGATGTGCAGCTGTTTTTCCTGTTTGCCAAGCCTGACCATCATGGTTTTCGGCGTTGTATAAAGTACCTCAAAGTGATACTTGAATAAAAGTACAAGTATCTTATCATAAAAATACTTTGGTAAACATTAAAGTCTTCTATAAAAATATTACTTCAGTGAAAGTCTTAAAGTACATAAGTATCAAAAGTAAATTTCCGACACAAAATCTACTTAGGTATTAAAAGTAAATGTACTGAGTAAAAGTGAGCAGTTAAATTTTCCAAAAAGACATTTATTGGGAGGTGACTTCTCAGAAAAATATTTTTTCTAACGGCGTGCAGCTGTGATGGGCTGTGTACAAGTATTACGGTATCAGAATGGTATATACAGTATTTATACTTCTCATCCAACCACAATTAAATTCACTCTATCCAGGAGACACAATTTATCTGGATAGTACTGTATTTGTTTTTAAGTAAAAACAACTCAGAATAAAATAGGAGAAACYACTTTCTACTTCTTACCATTTTAAAAAATGTAGGGAGTAGAAAGTACAGATAACTGTGTAAAAATGTAATGAGTAAAAGTAAAAAGTACYCTGAAAAATAATTACTCAAGTAAAGTACAGATAACCAAAATTTCAACTTAAGTACAGTAACAAAGTATTTGTACTTAGTTACTTTACAGCTCTGATGGTTTTGGGTAAACCCAAATCCAGTACAATTGCAGAGCAAACGATTACTCTTTAAGAGGTTTATTAAAATCTGCCTCGCGGCTCACAAGATATTTTGGTAACAGAGAAACATTTGATTCGAAAAGTTGGCAACATTTCAAACAAAACTCTCTCACAATCAGTGCATTTGTTTTGTATTTCCAAACATGAAACTGCTTTTTATCCATTTTTGTGTTRCCTCAGCCTTGAGTTATTATAAGCTTATATGTCGTTATGCTAGTTTTAATTAGCTTAATTAAATCTATCCACAATTAGGGCTTGTTTTGGTGGGTTTTAAACTGAAAAGTAAGAGAATGTCTCTTATAAAGGTCAAATACTGACCAGTGAAGTAGATTTAAGTTAAAAACACAATTTCTCTCCCTCAAATCAAAGCGTCACCTCCTTGGCCTTCAGGTAATAGAAACAAACAGGCAGCGCTCAGAGGCAGCTGGGTCAGTAGCTGGCTGCATATCTGCCGGGGAGCATGTGCGGATGACGAGCCGATCGCTCAGCACAAAGGGCCCAAAGAGCATGCTGACATTTTGCAACAGGGTTACCATGGAGAACTGGCTCCTGCTGCACCCGGGGAGCAGAGGGCGTGAGCAGAAAGAACATGTCCTGGTGGGCAGAGGTGGGGGGAGGTGGGCGCACAATGAGCAGCGCTGTTCCAAAAATGCGGTGAGGCGGGGATGAACTGTAACTTTTGGATGTGGATCACGGTGTGTGTGTGTGTGTGTGTGTGTGTGTGTGAGTTGGATCCAGATTAAATATGTGTGTTTATGTATGAGCTCCTGGGTGCACAGGCTGAGGAAGTGGGGGTGAATGTAAAATACAGCTGTAACACGGACAGCAGGCTCGCTGACTCAAACGCTCCAGGGTGCACTATTTGGTAGCAACGGAAGTGACCTCGCGRTGAAGCTTGTGTTTGAGTGTGTGTTTACACTCAGACCGGTCTTGTGTTAACGTGAAAGTGAGTCTGAGCGGATCTGAAACCTGCAGCGACAGCTGTCATGATCCATGAGATCTGTGTTTCAGACACGTTAAAGACACACACCAACACTAAACAGCAGCCCAGATTGTAATAATCACTTGTTTTCAACTTCTTTAGGGACATTACTCTCACATCATCGTAAAGAAACTCCAGCTCACTTTTCTCCACAGCACTGCTGCAGTCGAGGCTTTAAGGAGTCAGTTCTCTAGATGCTGATCGAGCATTTTATACAGAATAACACTTGGGATATTGCTGAACAAGTTTTCTTTTTTTAGTTGTTTTGTTATAGCTTTGCAGCTGTGCTTATATCTTCATCATCATCATCATCATCATCATCATCATCATTATTCTGTTGCATAATCCTGTTCCAGCCAAGCTTCAGATCTCAGGCAGACTGTCTCACACACACACACACATACATACTGTACATACATACATACATAC